AGGATCAAGATCCGGTGGGTGTGTCCAGGAGGTGAAGGTGACGATTCCGTCGCTGTCGGCGGTGCCTAAATCTGGAACGAAGTCGAGGACGAACACGTTGTTCTTTAGCACGGCCTTGCCGATGTAAAGTCCGCCTTTCCCGTGGTACAGCTTGAACTCCTGAGTGGTGCTGTCTGCTTTGAGATGGATGCCTTTCGTCATCAGCTGGCTGACGCTCAGTAAGCTGTAGCCGAGTCCCTCCGCGATTAAGACCTTTGACATCTGCAGTATAACGTTTGTCTCCCTTGACTGAAGTTGAACCACGCCTTGTCGTCGTGTGCGCATGTTCTGGTTGTTAGCGACGGTGATCACGACTTCCCGTTGAAGTTGGTGTTCCCGTTGAACGAAGCGACCCGAGGAGCACATATGCTGCCCGCAGCAACTGTCCAAGAACCAGGTATCCTTCCTGGATGGTTCGCTTTGGGCGATGGCTGCGTACGTTGGGTTTGGTTGAAGTGCTTCGCGGCGAGGGATACTGTTGTCGAGCTGCTCTTCCGGTGAGTAATGCGGTGGAGACTCGGTGATGCAGGAGTCAATCAATCTTGCCATGCATCTGACGATGTTTCTTGCTCCTTGTGCAAATTGTGTTGGCGATGCTGTTGAAGACTGCGGCTGGCTTGTGGGGTGCGCCTGTGTGGACACTACCTGACTGCTTGAAGGGCGAAGTTGACGTTGTGGTGGCGTTGATTGCTGTCGATTCGGGCAGTGTGTGCGAGGATGCCCTGACGTCTTGCAGAGATGACAGAACGGAGGTACGGGTTTTGGTTTATGCCGGTTGTTGTTGTTGTTGTTGTTGTAGCGCCGTTGAGTGTGGAACGCAAACTCGGGTACTGACGTTTTCTTCTTGTGCCGCTCCTCTTGCAGGTCCATGTCTTGCTGCTCAGCGTGGATTTCGGCGCAGAGTGCTGCTTCGGATATCTTCCCGTGAGCTCGGAGTATGGCGCGAGTGGAGCGCCAGTGAGGACCAAGACCGCCGATAACAACTGTGACGAAGGCGTCTTCCGATATCGACCCTCCACATCGAAGGAGTTTGTCGCGCAATTCGCGACAGCGACTAATATACGCCATTCCCTTTTCGCCCGGTTTCATTTCCACTGTTGTCAGTTGTGCAATTAACTGACTCTGATTGACGCTGTCTGTTGCCTGATACAGGTTCTTCAAGTGATTATACGCGAGCTCGGCGGAGTTGCCGTATCCCCGGTAAGACCGAATGTTCTGCTGCTGATTCGGAGTGATGTTCCTCAGTAGGATTGTGTATGCCATCATTGACTGATATGTGTACTGCTGCTTGTCGTACTGTGTGCCGTGTGTTGGATATGGTAGGGACCCATCGAAGAAGCCAAGAATCTGCGCGCCTTCCATCATCAGCTCGAACTCGAATGACCAGGTAAAGAAATCCTTCCCGTCGAACGGTCTTGATGTCTGAAGTTTTAAGACGTGCGCGAACTGCGACTGGACTTGAAGTGCGTCTAACGTTTTCTCTTGTCCAGGTGAGGGTTGCTGGTGCGGTATGAAGCTGATGGAGCCGCGCTGGGGCTCGTATGGAGCAAAGGTAGGCTGGTGCTGCTGATTTCCGCGCGCGTAGGATGAGCTGTCGAGACTCATGGGCGTCACTTCGTTGTTGTTGTTGCTGTTGTTTGACTGCGCAGGTGCCGTTTGCTGGTGTTGTTCGTAGAAGGACATGAAGGAGAAGAATTTCTCCATCATGCTTGGGTCAAAGCCTACAGGTTGATTCGCAGGAGTTTCAGTAGACCCTGCTGCTGGTCTTGTTGCCGTACCTTCCTCTGTCTGTAGGCCGGAGGCAGGTGGTGGAGTAGGAGTAGTGCCAGGAGAGCCATTGGAAGAACTTCTCTCCTTCTGAGTAGCCATGCCTTCTGATGTTGTAGGTATCTTGATAGTGGAGTTTGCCCTGACAGCTCTCATACCATGTTGGGCTGAGAAAAAGCCCTTAGGATCTTTGCAGGACTAAACTCTGGGTAGGAACAATGTAATAGCGGAAGCGTTTAATGATGAGTCTATGAACCACCTTGCGCTGGTATGTGAGGGCGAAGTAGATTGATTAATCAAAGAGATACAAGGCTTTTATAAGAATACAAGGAATATGAAAAGATGCAACTAGTAACTGTTTTACTGTTTGCTGTTGCGGTTCGATACAGAGACGACTCGGGCAACTGCTCGATAACGAGTTAGTTGTTTGTCCTTGCTGTCGCGCTGTACTTGTCAGGTCAAAGGTCGCTGACCTTTGACTTTCGCGTAACCTCCAGCAGTTGCTCAACCTCCGAGGGTTGACTCGCTGATGCTTCGCTGTGTTTCGCTTCGTTTATGACTTAGTGTTTCGACTCGAGAGAGGCGCTTAAATCACTTGTTTCCAACAAGTGAGACTGAACAATGGGATTGGGGTTATGGGTGGGGATCGTGGCAAGAGGCTCCTAATGTGTGCGCAACCCAGTATGGTCGAACGGACCTAGATTACTGTAATCGGAGCTCAGTAAGGGGTTAAGCGGATGGATCGAGGAGAAGGTTTTGCAACTGAAGTGTTTACCGAGCTTTTACTAAGGGCGTGTCCCACTTGTTCGTTTTGGAAGAAACACAAAGTTTTTACGTAATTTCGAGTCAGCAAAAGAGTGTACACTCTGACGAAAAAAACACGCAGCGCGTCAGCTCTAGTGCAAAACGAAATTGCACCACGCGGACTCACAGCCCCGCCCACACAAGCCCATCTTCCGAATCAGAATTCACCTGGGCCGCGAGCGGTAACCCGCCCGGAGTGCGAATTGTCTGCGCAGGATCTGACGGAGCTCGCACAACCAGAAACAAACAAACAAAAAAGTACCGAGCCGTTTTGTTTTCGCAAAACTGTGTGTTGGGCGATTTTCAGCATGGGGTAACGGACTGCAGGACACTGTACGCCATGGTCGCACGTACCATGGCTGCGGTTTTTGCACGTGGGAAAAACGCATCTTTAGACGTCTACAGTTCGTCACTGTGGCGCGTCATCGTGGAGTTGCATCTACAGTATCGCTATTCGTCTGGTTACAATTAAATAAAGGGGTTACCATTCTCAACATGAACTGTAAACGAACAATTGGGACACGCCCTAAAGCGGAGAACCCCCTTTGTGAAAAGAGTGGAAGGCGAGCGTTGCCCTCACATAAGGAAATTTTGGCTTCCTATCGTCACAGGTATGTGGCTCGCACCGAACGAGGAGGTTTCTGTGTTTAGCTTGGGCTCTCAAGCCACGAGCCTAATGGACGGCCAATGGGCAGTAGCCACGAGGAGGGTTCTTCGTCTGGCACGACTTGAGCTGCGCGCCAAGTGCCTGACTCTTGGATATCAACCTGCGCTCATGTACAGTGTTTTTTCTCCAAGCCAGGAGGTAACCCACCAATAATCGGAGCTTGCTTCAACTCAGCAGCACACAAACCTAGATTGTGGTGGAAGGCAGGCTCTATGAAGGAAGCAAGGAAGCAATAACTGACATGGCGGGTTTCCAGACCTCCCTCTAGGGCCAATCACTCGGCTAGGCCCAACCTGACAAACAGGTTCGCCTTTGTTTCTGTGCGACACTTGATGCGCGAACTACAATTCGTCATCCAATACAACTCCACGCGCGGTTTTCCCAACCACATCTCCAACGGCTCGTGGCTCAGTGGTTCAAAGGTGTTCGTAAACACCTATGTAGCAGCAGCAGTTTCAAACCAAAACCACCCAAAAGCCCACCCAACCGCCTGAAATTCCTAACAGAACAGTTTCAAACCAAAACCAAACCACCTGAACCGTATCCATGCGAGCTTTAGCCTCACTTGCCCCAGACAAAAAACTCTATCAACCCCCCTGCTCTCCATCGCTCACCGGTCTCCACCACATCCCCGTTTAGTTTTGTTCCGTTCTACCATTCTGTACCGCGCTGCTCTCTCTCTCTCTCGCTGCTCTCTTGTTTCTCTTGTTTCTCAACCCACGCCATCCACACATCTGATCCTCCTCTCCCCAGCGTGTCGCTCCGTCATCTTCACATCATCCATCCTATCAACGCATCCGCTCCTGTGGCGCTTCCGTGTCAGCTGTGAGGATGGTGTGATGTGCTGCAGTGTAGACGACAGAGAGCACCAAACCAAACCTACTAGGAGAGCTTCAGTGTTTTCGGATGTGTTGTCTGCTGACAGTGTGGACCGGACCGGAGATAAGGATGGAGCTCTAACAGCCTCTTATCACACAATCACACAGCCCGCTTCAGCCTTCCCCCCTGTTCCTAGCTTATTCGAACGCTGTGCTGATCAACTTTTTGTACAAAAACAGCAGCACCTTCCGACGTACGTACCTGCCTCCCGTTTTTCCCGCGAATGCGTTTGTCGCGAATCCGGGGTAACACGGACCTTTGCGCATATCTCCGTCGTGCCGTTGTGTCACTGTCGTGTCGAGCCCTCTGAAAGTCCTCGCTGCGTGCCGCGATCGGCGCCTTGCGCACATGACTTTGTGGCACCAGGTTAGGGAACTGCCAGCTGCACCGCCAGACTCGTCGTTCCCTCGTTGCCGGCAGAGCAACGCACCTGCTGACGGTTCCGGCTCTTCCTCCTCCTCTTCCTCCTCCTCCCCCTTCCCTCCCTACTTTACCTCCTCCGCTCACTTCTTTGATAGCGTCAACGCCGTACTTTCCGCTGCGACGGAACACGGCACGGCGCGCTCGTCGCTGGCTCGCGGAGTGCACGGGCGGCACCAGCAGCTGCAGCGACTCCTGGGAGCCGCGTGACGCGCAACGCAACGCTCCGTGCCGGAAACGATTGGCGACGGATGTTTGAAGCCAGAGATCCCTCGCAGTCCGTCCGGTGGTCTTAGTGGGTGTGCGTGCAGTGCTAGCAGTGCTCCAGTTTAAGGTGATACAGCAGTACGAGTGACAGGTGCAGCGCCGATATTCCAATCTTCACGATTTACTCACTTGCGCGTTAAAGAGTCCTGGCGGGTGCATGCGAATTCGTCTTCTGAATTTCCTCGCAGTGAGTTCAGTGGGAGCTTCTGGTTGTGAACCCGGATCCTGTCGGCTTTTGTTGCCCTTGATTGAACTCCCCTGTAGGGTCGAGCGTTATTGATGCCGATGCCGCTTTTGGTTTCAGCGTCACCTCCTTCCGTTTGAACCTCTCTGCTACATCAATTTCTGAAAGCAGTAGTTATGCGCTATTAGTGTGGAGATTTCTTGAAAGTTTATCCTCCTTGTATTCTGCTCGGTGTCTTCACGGTTATCCTGCTCTCCCCTCTCCATCCCGCTTCCTGCCTTCATTCCTCCCCGTCCTGCCGTCGTTTTCCCGTGTCGCCTTCCGCTCCTGCTATCGCAGGTCATCTCAGGCTCCTTTTACTGCCTGGGTGCCAACTTAACTCGCAACGTTCGCGTGGCTTCACTTTGGAGTTTCGAGTTTCCGCTCCGTCGTCATTCCCTTCGACTCGGAGCGCTCCAGTTACGATTACCGTTCCTCCGCTCGCTGCGGCTTCAGCCGGACTTGGTAAATTTCTCTTGTACTCTAGGGAGCGTTTCCGCGACTGTACTGCCGCGTCACTGTGCCACGAGTTTTCGCTGACTGCTGACCTGGCTGAACCGCTTGACCTAACATTCATTCTCTTTATTCGGCTCTACGCGCGCGCGCGCTCGTACATCTCGTCCTCCTCCTCTTTGGCTCCTCGGCGCATCGAACAGCCACCCTTGTGTATATTTCTCCGTAGGATTCCTCCGCGCCTCGTGCCGCATACCTCCTGCGTGCAAAGGCGACGTTAGCTCAACGTTCACCTGCTTCGGATTGCCTGTCGTTGCACGTTTGTTGATAGTGCGGGAGTAGAGAAGGCGGCTCGGAAGTTCATTAAAACAGTTCAGCAGCGTCCGGTATAGGGACGGGGGTACCTATAGGTGCAGGGCTGGTGCAAGGAACGCTTTGAGAGCAGTTTCTTCCCAGTGCGACGTCTCTAATACAGGTTTACAGCAGGAAGCTCAGCAGCTATAGCAGCAGCAGCAGCAGCAGCAGCAGCAGCAGCAGCAGCAGCAGCAGCAGCAGCAGCAGCAGCAGCATTAGCGGCAGGAACGGCAGCAGCAACAGCAGGCATGGCGTCGTCGTCGTCAGTGTCGAGCAGTCGCGCGCGCATGGACCAGATAGTATCGGAGTTCCTCGCCAAGAGCCTGCACATCATCCTCGACTCCAGGATACCGTGCGCTGCTCATGCACCCGCACCCGCAGCACCCGCAGGCGCAGGCGTAGGCGGAACCGCAGCCGCAAGCGCGCAGCAGCATCTCGACTCAGCCCTCGCGCTCTCCGGTCAGTCGCCCCTTCCTTCCCCCTCTCCGCGCCACGCTGAGCTTGGCGCTGCTGCTGATGTGGCAACAGGGGGGGGTGGGGGTGGGACTGGCAGTCTCACGAGCAGCGGTAGCAGCACCAGCAGCAGCAGCCATCGCGCAGCCTCCGCTTCCCCTTCCCCCGCCTCCTCCTCTTCTTTCTCCTCCGCGCCCTTCCCGTCGTCGTTCTCCCCGTCCTCCCCATCTCCAGGGGTAGCCGCCGCCGCCGCCGCCATCGCCGCTGGCGTAGCAGCAGCTCCCGCGCCGCTTTCCGTGCCGTCGATTTCCGACCGTTGGTTCAATCTGGAGCTGCAGCAGGGAGCGGCTGTGATGGAGGCAGTGGATGGGTGGCGCCGCTTCCCGGTAGAGCCGTTAGTGATCGACGTACTACTAGACAGACCCGCCTCCCTCTCTTCCCACTCCTTTCGCGCCCCCTCCTCGTCCCATCCTCACTCCCACTCTCACGCGCACTCGTTCGCTCCCTCTTCCGCTCCCGCGTATGGGCCATCCGGAGCAGGCGCGGTGGCAGCGGCCGCCGCGGGAGGCGGCGGGGGGGCCGTGAGCGGGGAGGCAGGAGCGCTGGCAGGCGCGGGAGCGGGCCCCGCGTCCCGCAGTAGGAGCCTGCGCCAGCACGCGCCTTCCCCGGAAGCGTTCATAAGACTGTCCGCCCCAGGGGTTGCGTCGGGCCCAGGCGTCGCTGCTGCCGCTGCTGCTGACGCTGCCGCTGCGGCGTTTGCTTCTCTCGGGACCGGTTCTGGTCTAGGCTCGCCGTTCGGTGGTTCTGGCTCTGGAATAGAAGCAGCGACGCTGGGCGAGTCTGGAACAGGGCGACGGGACTCGGCGGGTGCTCCCGGTTCTTCTGCTGGTAGCAGTGGTGGTGGTGGGGCGAGTGGTGGTGGCAGTGGGCCGCTGTTGTTGGAGCGATGGGTGGTGCGGTACGAGAGAAGGCGAGGCGGCAGCGGTGGCGTGGAGTTTGGTGAAGGCGCTGCTGGCGTTGGTGGGGGAGCGGGAGGGGCAGGAAGCGGCGGGGGGGGCGGAGGCGCAGGCGGAGGGGTAGGCGGAGGGGGAGGCGGAGCGGTGGATATACCAGTGGTGTACAAGCACATGGTCGTTATGCTTCGCTCCCTCTACTCCCTCACTCGCACCCTGCCCGCATACCGCCTCTACTGCTCCCTGGCTGACGCTGCTCTCTCCTCCTCTGCCGCCTCCTCCTCCTCCTCTTCCACCGCCACCGCCACCGCCGGCGGCGGCGGCGCCGGCCCTTCTTTCTCCCCCGCCCCCCCTATCCTGATCTCCGGCTCCGCGCTCCGCCCCACGTTCGCGCTCGCCTTCCGCATCTCCCCCAACCCCGCGGCCGCGCTCGCGGACGCAGCTGCCGCGTCGTCCGCCGTCGGATCAGGCGCGGGCCAGTCCGGAATGAACTCGTGGGCGTTAAAACCGTTGGATCTCCCCGACGGGCGCATGTCTGTCTTCGTGGTGTATAGACCCGGTGCCGCTGCAGCAGCGTCGGTGGTATCGGCTGTAGAGGTAGCTCCTCCTGTGATCACGCGGGTGATTACAGACTACGTGGGTACGGGCGGGTCTGTAGCAGAGCCGCCGCACCACCGTCGCCCCATCCGCCACTACCAGGCTCCCCCCGCGTCCCTCCCCCTCTCCTCCTCGCTCTCCTCCGCGTCTTCCTGGTCCCCCTTCTCCCGGCGAGCCTATGGTCTGCTCGCGGGGCTCCCCTTGCTGGTTTCCCCCTCCCCGTCCCCCTCGTCCTCCCCCTCGTCCCTCCCGTCGTCTTCCGCCGCGCAGCTCTCGTCGCTGTCCTCCCCCTCCGCCGCCGCGGCCGCGGGGCGCGCGCTGGTGATGTTCGCCCGCAGGCACAGCTTCGGGGGGATGGAGGAGAGGCGCGGATCCGCCGTTGGCAGTTCCGCCGCCGCGGCCGTGGGTGCGCGGGGCGGGGAGAGCGGCGGCGGGGGAGTGGGCGCAGGGGCAGCAGCGGGAACAGCGGGGTTTGCAGGGGGGAGCGGCAGCGGGGGGAGGGGAGTCATGGGGGTAAGGTCCGCCGTGTCTGCTGGGTCGTTGATTGGCACTGGGCTGTCGGGATCTGCCAGTGGGACGGCAGCCGCAGCAGGAGCGGGCAGTGCAGGGGTAGGGATGATACAAGAATCACCAGCAGCACCAGCAGGTGCGGCAGCTGGAGCAACAGCAGGAGTGGCAGCAGCAGCAGCGGTATCAGGAGCAGCAGGCATGGGGGGTATGGGAGGGTATCAGGTGCCTATTTTCTACCGGGGGATCTCGCCCCCGTCGCTTTCGTCGTCTCCGTCGTCCCACGTGTTTGCGCGCCCCATCACGATCTACGAGCAGGAGCCGGATGACAGCGGGGTGGACGGCGCAGCAGGGCAGGAGGCGGGACGATCGTCGTCTGCTTCGCCAGCAGCACCACCACTGGACGAGCAACGGCAGCAGCTGCAGGCGCAGCAGCAGCAGCAGCAGCAGCAGCAGCAGGTGTCGCACTATCAGCAAGCGCACCTCGAGCAGCAGCAGCACTACCAAGGCCTGTCTCACCGCCACAGACTCCCCCCGATTGTCTCTTCCCCGTCCGCCCACCATCCCTCCTCTCTCCCCAGCCATCCCTCTTCCTTCGACTACCATCACCACCACCACCTCTCTGCCTCCCCCTCCCCTCCCCTGTCCCCATACCCCCCGCACCACCCCTCCGCGCCCTTCGCCCGCGCGCCCAGCCTCCCGTCCCTCCCGAGCGCGCCTGTGTCTATTCCCAAGATCAACTCCCGCGGACAGATCATCCCCCGTCGCCCCTCTAGCACGTTCCATCCCAGCAGCGCCAGCAGCAGCAGCTGCGGAAGCAGCGTGGGAGGGGGCAGTGGGATGGGGGTAGGTAGCAGGGCAGGCAGCGGGGTAGGCAGTGGGGTGAGTGCCGCTGGTGCTAGCGCTGGCGGGGGGGGTAGCAGTGGTGGGCGGAGCGGAGGAGGAGGGTGCGGGAGTGACAGTCAGGAAGCAGCAAGGGCCGGAGGCGGGGGAGTGGGAGGAGTGGGCGGAGCAGTGCTTGTGTCTGGTCTCCCAGTTCCCGCTAGAGCTGTTAGTATGCCCCCTGTGTACACCCACACAAGCCACACAGGTGGTCAAACCTCTCACACAGCCCACACTGGTCACATAACTCACACAACTCACACAACTCACACTGCTGAGACGACTCATGCACATGCTGGTAGAGCCAGCGGTGGTCTGCTGCCATGGGCGCCCGCTCGAGGCCCCATTCCCCTCCCCTCTCACCACACTCCGCCCCTGCTCATCCCTTCGCCCGCCCCTCACCTCGTCCCCTCTGCACCAGTCGCCTCTACTGCCATTACGCTTGCAGGGAGAGCTGTGGTAGGGCCAGGCGGAATGGGTATGGGTATGGGTGTGGGTGTGGGCGGTGGTGGTGTTGCTGGCGAGGAGCTGTTTACCAGTCGCCAAGGCTCCTGGCGCCCTTGCTCCGCCCCTGCTGCTGCTGGCGGCGGGCTTGCTGCTGCTGCTGGATTCCCCCCCGCGTTCCATGCTGTGCCGGCAGCAGTGGCAGCAGCGACCCACGTCCCCAGGTTTACTTGGCAGCAACCGGCGTCCGCAGGTGCAGGAGTGGTAGCAGGAGGAGGAGTAGGAGTAGGAGGAGCAGGGGCAGCAGGCAATGGAGGGGTGAAGCCTAGCAATGGAACTTCGGCTCTTACAGCTGCTCTCTCTGTCGCCTCTGCTGCAGCAGCAGCCGCACCAGGTGGTGGCGCTGCTGCTGCTGCTGGTGGTGGTTATCCCACTGGAGCAGCTGCTGCTGGGTCATCCGCGTTGGGCGTGGGCCAGGGATATATGGGCGCTGGTGGGGTGCGGATTGGAGGGGCTGTGGGGAGAGCAGAGGCAGCAGGAGCGGGAGGGGAAGCAGCGTGGGGGGAGAAGGGGAGAGGCGGGATGGCAAGAGGGGGCAGCATGGAGGGGCGTGACAGTGGGCGACCGCACTCGTATGGCAGTACCCAGCTGGTGAGACACGCGTGCTGTTGTGAGTCTTTTTGAGGCGCCTCAAGAATAGATTTTTGAGGTGCTTCACAGACAGTGGGCGACCGCACTCGTATGGCAGTACCCAGCTGGTGAGACACGCGTGCTGTGGTAGGGCGCGGGTGGTGGGGGAATGGGGTCATGAGGATAATGGGGGCATGGGTGATGGGATTGTGGGTTGCTGTGGTGTCATGGCCCACATGCCTTGGGGTCCTGGTGAATGAGGATGGTGGTATGGTATTGTTTGTGTTTGTGCCATGAGATTGGGTTACCCATTCATCAACCCATGGCAGCTTGGTCTTTTCACACTATTTGCTCTTTTCCTCCTCGCTTTCACGCGTTCCTCCATGTCCCTCCCTCCATGTTCTTCCCAGTTCCAGTCCCCAGTTCCCGCCTCCCTCCCTAGTTTCCCTCTTTCCCTCCCACGTCCCGTTCCCGTTCTCCCTTCCTCCCTCCACCTATCCCTTTCTCTGCAACCCATCCCTGTCCTCTCTTCCTCTATGCCTTTCCTACCTGTTGTGCAGGGGTGGGAGCAGCAGGCATCGAGGGCACCGGTCCCGGAAGGCAGTGGGGTAGAGGAGGAGGAGGAGGGGCACCTGCTGCTGCCCTTTGCTGTGGACGACGATGACACTGACGAGCCCTCGCCCACTGCCGCTCTGCCCACTGCCGCCCCTGCCAGGTGTGTGTCTGTCTGTGTGTGTGTGTGCGCGCGCGCGCTCGCGAGCGCACGCGCACGCATTGCTGTGCTGCTGCCTGCGCGTTGTGCCCTTGCTCATGTCATGTCATGTCATGTCATGTCATGGTGTCGCGTGGAGACATGATGAAGGGAGACAGTCAGCATGAAAACCAACTGTCTGTTCGCGGTTCACTGAAAGGGCATCCGATCAACCAGGCATTTACATGCAACAGGAGAGACTCGCAAACAACCTGCTGGTACCCAGAACGAAACCAATCTCCTAACATTTACTTCGTTCTTCCACTTTGAAAAACGTTTCCCGTACATCTTTCATACATGCACCACTTCTTTGGCAGCATTATTGCGAGATCCCTCTCTCCGAGTTGCCTCAAAGGGCCCATATCCTCGATTTCCATCGCCTCTTCGTCCCCTTGGTCCCTGCGTTTTCCCTCCCCCTACCCAACTCCAGCCATTCCCAGGATGTCAACCGCGCATTGCCGGGCGTTCAGAGTCGTCAGGTGGATTCCCACAGGGCACGCGAGTCGAGTGATTCACGCGACGCTGCAGTAGGTGCGCTCATCCGCGTCCTGCGCTATGCGCCTCCTCTCCGCGCCTCCTCCACCTCCTCCTCTGCTGCTCCGGCTGCTGCTGGTGCTGCTGGGCTGCCGGTAGGCGGTGCACTCAGCATGTCGTCTGTTAACCCCGTGCAATACGGGGCTGCCTTCCCCCGCAGCAGCTCCTGCAGCAGCACTGGCAGTGCTGGCAGCGCTGCGGCTGCTGCTGGTGGCCGTAGTGGCAGCGGCAGTGGCCGCAGCAGTCCGTATACCACAGCTGCCAGGGCCGCTGCTTCTGCTGCTGCCGCTGCTGCCCTGCCGTCCTTAGCCCCTCTTTCCGCTCCAGTTGCTACTGCTGCTCTTCCTGCTGCTGCTGCTGCTGCCACTGGGGCGGCTTGTCCTGCTGGTTCTCCTGTTGCTGGTGGATTTGCTGGTGGCGCTTTTGCTGCTGGGATGATGGGCGCAGGGATAGGAGCAGAGGTGGTGGAGGGGGGAGTGGGCGCGGAGGGGGCGGAAGGGGCGGAAGGGTTGGAGGGGGCAGCAAGGGCAGCGGAGTCTCTGCTGGATGAACTGTTTGGGTTCAGTGAGATGAGGGAGACATTGCTCAGACAGAGGGGCGTGGCCCGCAAGTGAGGGAGGAGTGAGTGTGTGTGTGGTGGAGGCGGTGGAGGGGTGGTTGTGGTGGTGGTTGAGGGGACAAGGAGATGCAGAGAGCAGAGATGATATGGGGGTGAATGGTGGGCGGGGTGGGTGCAGGTGGGTGGAAGTGCATGTGTGTTTGGGTTGCTGGAGGCGATATTGGTGACGCGCCGCTGCAGGGAGTGTGTGGTATGGTGTATTGGGTTGGGACCCAAGAGCGTGCGCGTGATGTGAGGTGAGACGGGTCGCTCGCGGTGATGTGGCATAGAGGTTGAAGTTCTGACACGGGCTGGCTGATACGGTAGGAGTAACCTTTCTCCAGAATCCAGATGTACCAAGTGGGCAGATAGGTGACGGAACAGGCAGACAGACAGACAGGTTGTGAGAACCAAGGCTGGATATGCCATGCCACATACTGGGGAACGCAGTACCGTTACTGCAGTCCCTTGAGCTAGCCTGCTCTCTGCACTTGTGCTGGATAGGCATCCGTGCTGTGCTCGTCTAGTTGTGAGGGATGAGCTGTGACCTGGATCAGTGTGGGCTGAAACTGGTTCTCGAATGTAGGGACAGAGTGGTGGATCAATGCTAGGTTGTACATATCATTAGCTTAGGGACTAGTCCTATATGCTGCTGTAACATTACTGTGACCCCCCTTTTATACATCAATAGGCCAGTCTTAGCTTGTGTACATTGAAGAAGGGTACTGTATGGGTGTTATGGTCACGTGATTGTAGTGCATCTATTTGAAGTGCTAAGATCAAGGATAAGCTAAAAGATGTCTGAGCCTTCCCATCTAGGCGGACCATTGGTCCAATGAAGCTCTATATTATACGATTATGCGAAATTATTGAGAGCCGCGTCAAGCTCTTTATTATTATATCACAACGTAAAGCTAGTCACAAGATAGTGCAAATCCTGGCTAGATAGCGCTGTACTGTTACAACAATTTCTACCCATAGCCTCTGTTGTTCGCGCCTGCAAATTTTCAAGCTGCTGCGCTGTGTGGTAGGGGCTTCCACCACGCGGTTCGACGGTCGTCGACCAGTCAAGGAGGGGTCACCGTTTTTTGCGATGCGGTCTTGCCGCGAGCCTAGTGCGTTGCATGTGTATCAAGCATAGATAATTGTTGGAATACCCTTCACGTTGAGTTGCCCTGCTTGTTGCAGTAGATTCCACTATTTGGCCACAACCCTTGGGTTCAGTTGAGATCGGTATGATTGCTGGAGGTGGGACCAGGGTGTTGCAAACTCAGTCTCGGTATCAGTGTTGAGGAAGAATCCTTGGTGAAATGTTGTGTTTCAGGAGTTTAGCGGAAGTCTCAATATGATTGTCTAAAAACTGAAATTCTTCCGGAAGTCAATGCACATTTACAGCTGTAACGTAGGATGACTCAATACGCCCCTCACGAGCCCCACAAACAGTTACTGCCACATCAGCGAAAAGCTGCCCTTGATGTCCTCGCCACGCCACGAGTGTCCACAGAAAGTTCCACGATCCATCTTTCTCTTGGCTGCCTGTGCATCCCACCCATTCATTCATGATCCATCGCGTGATCCCAGCCATCCATGTCACATGGGCGTCTTGAACGTTGACCATCAATGTCGGACCCTACCCATGCATCAGCTTTCCCAACGCGCCAAACACGAAGGCTCTCTCATCGGGGAGCCCCCTGGAAGTGGAACCCCGTCGCACCGTAACGCAAGAGCCGTCGCCTCCGCCAGCGGTCGCGGCACTTTCAAGGGCAGCACACCGTAACTGTTTGTTGGGTGGGGTGGGGGGAGAGGGACCTTGGTTTCCTCGCCGCGTCGCCAACGAAACCCTTGCGACGGCAAACGACTAGAGAGAAATCTCGTGGATGACGCAAGGTGGGGGAAGATACTTCGGTCGCCGACCCACACGCATCCTCACCTCACCCTCTCCGACCAACCCATGCGATCTTTGAGGAGAGCGCATCCGTCGCCCAATGACCGATTGGCGCCTCGAGGTTGGGTTGGTCGGAGAGGTGGCTGGCTGGCTGATGCCTTCGATTCTCTAGTTCCAGCCAAACCCAGCTTTCCTAGCTTTCCCCTTCCTGTCCACTCCACGCTCTAGACACCTACTTTGAATATAGACCTCAAAACCTTGCTGTTCCGCATGCTACTCAGGGTCGCCCAAATTTACGTCGTCAGAACACACATCTCGTATACAACGACGAGAACGAGGTTCAGTTTTAATCCGTGCCAGAGGCTTCCATGTCCTTTTTTAAGTTAGCGTCTGATTTAACCAGAAAATTGTTAACACAATGAAACGTGAGAAGCTAGCTTAGGAACACAGTCACTTCATCATGACAGCCAGCGAACTAACACAGCAGCAACAGGGCCACGGATGGCCGTGGCCATTAATTCCCTTAACGCCACTCACCACCTCTCGCCCCTCGAATCACTCTCTAGGCGACATCCATGCAGTAGTTTTACCAGCTCTGACTGTCGCCTTGGACGTCGCATGCACGTCCGATCGCTACGGCCAGGTAGCTTCCGAATGTCGCACGGCTATGCGATTTCTCTCCGCCTCCGGTGCGACAAGCTCTCACGAAGCATTTTCCACCGGTACCACCGTGAATACCGCTAATCCTATAACTCCTAGTATCGGTAGAACGGTGGTTGACGACGCTGAGATAAGCAGCACGGACGTCTTTTCCACCCCCTCAGTCCCCTCGAGAAGACTAAATACAATCACAGTAACCGCCGCTTCGGCCAGCGGCTGTGTTAGAGTAGCTGAAGACGCGGAAATTGGTGATCCAGGCCGTGCTGCTCCAGCTGTAGTTAATCACGTGGGAGATTCGTCCAGCAGCGTCGCCGATGCGACGTCCGTCAGTTCCGATCCTGCAGCCCGTTACGATCTCGACGCCAATTCCGTTAGAGCGCACGACAGGCCGGTCGCCGGCACAGCGAACGGTGCAGAGGTTCGCGAGGTGAACAGAGCGGAGAACTGCGAGGCTGGGAGCTTTGAAAGGAACCGCGATGTACGCTGCGAGGTGCGGCCGGAAGGGGGTGCTGTTACCGGTAGTCTGGGCGGTGTGACGGAGTCCCCTGAGGACAAGGCGATCGCTAGACGTCTTGTGTTCGAGGAGGAGGGAGACGAGGAGGACGAGGTGGAAGAGGAGGAAGAGGGTGGAGAGGGTGGAAGGGGAGAGGAGGAGATTGAGGAGAAAGAGGAGGAGCAAGCGGAGCAAGGAAAGGCATTGATACAAGCGCAGACGCACACACAGTTCCGCGCGAACGGTACAGGAAACATCAGAGCTGCTTCGAGATGTACCAAGGGCGGTAACTGCGGTGCGCGTCGCAGGCGGGGAGGGGCAATTCCAAACACTGTGTTTGACACGTCATGTCTCGTCGATAGCTCGCGAGGCGAAATTTCGCCGGTCGAGGCGGAAGCGCTGCTGCGCCCGTTGCTCTCCGCTTGCGCCGCCGCCGTCGCCGAGAAAGCCTTGTTCGCCCCTGGACCCGCCGTTGCCGCCGCCACAGCCGCCGCCGCAGCAGCTGCTGATTCTCCGCCGGGTGCCACAGTGTCCAGCGCGGAACACGGCGCGACTAGCGGCGCCAGATCCGTCGCGGATTTCTCGCCGCGACGGGGCAAAGCGGACGCGGTGAGCTCTGGGAGCATGGCAGTGGCCGCACTGGAGTGCTTCCAGGAGCTGCTGATGAGGGGCGCGATCAGGGGGTGCATCGGTGATCGGAGGTGCGCGTGTGGGGGGGAAAGAGCAGAGCGGGTGGTGACATCGGGGGATAGTGTGGTGGTGCATCCGACTGATAAGGTAACTAGGAACGACGGTGGCGCTGGTGGTGATGCAGACTTGGGGCCAGCCGCGCGCGCGTCACGTAGGGTATTGGACGGCGAATGTGAAGCTAGCATGACCAGTAGCAGCCGCGAGAGCAAGCGCAAGAGCAGCAGCAGCGGAGTTCGCAGCAGCAGCGGTGCTCGCAGCAGTGGCGGCGGCGGCGTGGCAGGGCGCATTCTAGATGCCGTTTGCCTCTGTGCCGGTCTGCCTCCCATCGTTCACCCTGCGTCTCCTTCCACCTCCGAACTCCCGTCACACAATCTCACACCACGTTCATCAGGTTTGCATATATTGAACGTGCTACAATCGACCACCGCCCCTACTGCCGACACCGCTGGTGCTGCTGCTGCCGCGACAGCATCTGCCGTAACTTCTCTGCAGTACCATGCAGTCCGCACCTTCCTCGCCTTCGCCTGCGCCCCTTCCCTTCGCCTCCACGCGTCCGTCCTCCTCTCCCTCTTCCACCGTCTCCTCTCCCTCAGGCTCTCACCTCTTCCGCGGCCGCACCCACTCCCACTCTCAACCCCACTCACCCTCGCTCCGACTTCCTTGCACCTGCACCCCCGCCCTCCCACTGCTCGCGTACGGCCGTTATCTCTTCGGTCTGGCAGCAAGCACGCCCAGTCTTCCCTCCTTGTCCCTGAGGTTGCACCCGCGTCCCTTGCTTCCCGACGGGAGGTTATGGCCCTGGTTCGAGGGGAGAGGGAGGAGTTGGGGCGGCCGAGAGGGGCGGTGAGGCGGAACGATCGCTTCAGTAGCAGCGTCAGCAGTGCCAGCAGCGTCAGCAGTATTAACAGTAATATCAGTGCTGGGAGCAGTGGCAGCGGCGGCAGAAGCAGCAGTGCGAGTAGGGCCAGTACTGGCGGCAGTGGTGGTGGCTGGAGTGTGCGTGTGCGAGGGATGAGGAGAGGCCGTGTTGCAGAGACGGAGGAGGAACACAGTGGTTCAGAGGCACAACACTCGGTGCACGGAACAGGAGGAGGAGGAGGAGCAGCAGCAGCAGCAGCAGCAGCAGAGGATGCGAAGCAGAGGAGCAGGGAAGCAGCATGGGCGGCAGCAGCAGGCAGGGCGAACGGCAGGCTGAAAGCACTCGCGAAAGCGGCTCTAGCACACATGCTGACATACTCTTTCCCTGGAAAGGAGGAGCAGAGTGACGCAGGGAGCAGGGATGGGCCTTGCCGTACCTGCTGCAGCTCCGCTGCGTGTCCCCCCTCGCTTCTGTGTGCTGCCCCGCTGTGGGACAAAGGGCGAGGCGAGGAAGGGTTGGGAGAGAGCGACTGGGAGTGGGTGCAGCAGAAGCTGGTGCTTCCGCTGGGGCAGCATGGCGGGACAGTTGGAGGGAGTGAGGGGCGAGATTGGGATGCTGTAGAGGCATGTGGGAGGTTGGGCAAGGGAGGGAAAGAGGAGGCAGCAAGGGGAGGGTGCGCGGGAGTGTGCATGGGAGACGCAGGAGAGGGTGCTGTGTGCGGGTGTGATGGTGTGTGGAGCGGGCGTGTGGGGAACCTTGATAGAGTGGACGCACGTTTCATGCTCGCACAGGCAGGGGTGAGAGGAGCGGTAACTGGAGGTGTGGAAAGAGAAGTGGTGGGGAAAGGGACGGGCTTGGAGCAAACGGGAGTGATGAAAGAGGCTCAAGAAAACACGTGTATGTGTGTGGAGAGGCCGTGTAGTGTGGAGAGCCAGCAGGCGAGCACAGGGGACGTGCACTGTGGCAGTAGCAACAGCAACAGCAGCCATGGGCAGGTCAAGCCTCCACTGCCACCGTCTATCCAGGAGAGGGAGGAAGAACCACTGGCCCAGCGGCCATTGCAGCAGCAGCAGCAGCAGCAGCAACACACGGACAAGGGCACGGACATGGACTCAGAACTCTGTTCCTTCCCCTTGGCTGCCACTGCCAGTGGCAGTAACCCTGCCGAGTTCACCAACAGCGTCACCAACACTGACAGCAGCACGAGTGGCTGCGGTATCAGCAGCAGCACTGTTGCTGCTGCTGCTCCTGCAGCTGCTGCCGCTGCTGCTGCTTCCACGTATCCCGTGGCTGAGAGTGTGTGGTCCTGGGACTGTGATGCACAGCTGCTGCTACTGACAGAGCTGTGCCAACTCGCCGTGCATGGGCGGACAGGCCGTGGGAGGCAAGGGCACAGCGGTTTTAGGCTCAAACGTGACCAGTATGAAGGACGGGTGTGCGAAGCGAGGGCGTGCGAAGGGAGGGTGTGCTCGCAAGTGGGCGGACAAGAGGTGGGCCGTTGTGAAGCAGAGATGCATGCGGAGGGGTTTAGACAGGAGGAGGAGCGTCAGGAAGAGGGGAAAAGCGAGGAGGGGAGCAAGGGGCGTGCGGAGCAGGTGTGTAAGGAGGAGGAAGGAGGGGACGAGGAGGAGCAAGGAGGGGACGAGGAGCAAGGAGGGGAAGAGGAAGTGCGGGTGGCAGCTATGGAGTTGCTGTGCTGGGTTGTGGAGATCGGAGCGCCTCACCTTGCTTCTCACCCCCGGTGCGTCTCGTCTCTCTTCTCGCCTTTCATAACCCCTCACTTTCCAACCACGTTTCTTGACATGGTTGATCCCTATCTCCTTGACTCACGCTTTCTTACCTGTTGTGCCTTGTCTGTTCTGTTCTGACATGCTGCCTGGGTTTGTAGTTGGGTCAGATTCTGTGTCATCAGAGCTGCTTCGTTGGATACCTACCAAGTGTTATATATACTTATGTTTATATAAACATGAGTTATTCCACATAGTATCCCCGAATCGCTCCCACCCACCCCGCATCCGCCTCCTTATCCCCCATGCAGGCTGGTCAATCACCTAAAGGACTCCCTTTGCTTCTCCCTCATCAGCAACGTTAACGCAGCAATCACCGCTTCCTCTCCCCCCACCACTCCCACCACCAATACCTCCTCCTCCTCCCCTCACCGCTCTTCCTCCCCGCCTTCAACTCCTCCGCCTACCACCATCACAAGCACCACTGCCACCACCACCACCAGTGCCAGCACCACCACTACCAGCACCACCTTTCAACTATGCCACCTCTCGCTCTCCCTCCTCCTCCGCCTCCTCACCCTCCTCCGCGCGCCACTCCACTCCCAAGTCCCCCCCCTCCTCTCGCACATGCTGCTCACGCCCCTCAACAGCCGCACCCTCCCCCTGCGCGCCAAGGCGCCCTTCCTCTGCGCTCTGCGAGCGCTCCTCACCCTCCCCCAGCTCTGCCTCGACCTCTTTCTCAACCACGACTGCTGCCCTGGTGGAGGAGACCTTGTGCTCAGGTGGGTTCCAGTGTTGATTTTTCAGTCGTGTAGGAAATCTCCTCACCCTCCCCCAGCTGTGCCTCGACCTCTTTCTCAACCACGACTGCTGCCCTGGTGGGTTCTAATAGAGGAGGGAAAAGGGAGTTCTTTTAGCACCGATACTAGGTAGGTGCCTCGTGCGCAGGTTGGGATCACTGTACGTGCAGGTGACTGTGTGGCCAACCCTGAGGGGAGGGGATAGGGTGAGAACGAGCGCGTGCATAACTCTCACTTTCATGGTGCTTCCGTTGTCGTCCCTCTAGTGTATTCACTCATACACTCTCATCCCCGCTCTCATTTCCCCTCTTCCTCGCCCCCCCCTCTTTTCGATTCCTCTCCATCTCCCCTCAACTCCCCCCCTTCCACCCTTTCCCCTCTCGGCAGGTCTGTAAGCACCCTAGCAGATACCATTTGCACCCCTCCCGACCCAGACACGCACCACGGCTCCCAACTCAAGCCCCGGTTGCAACGGCACCAGCAGCACCACCACCACAAGCACCAGCAGCACCAGCAGCAGCAGCAGTTCCTTTCTCCAGCACCCACCTTTCCTGTCCAAGACCTCACAGCCTACCTGCCTGCTGCTCCCTCTCCTTCTTCCTCCTCTCCCTCACCCTCGTTCTTTCTCTCTCCCGTCATCTCTCCCTTTTCCGCTGCACCTGCTCCTGCCTCGGCCCACATGGCCATGAGTCTACAGGGCAGCGGGTGCATCCATAGCTGTAGCAGCACCAGCAACACTCCTGGGCTCTACAACAGCCACAGCACCACCCCCACTTGCACCAGCACTAACTGCACCACCACTTGCAGCACCACTTGCAGCTGCACCTGCAGTAGTAGCAGCAGCACCACCACCACAAGCTCGTCTACCTTCCCATCATCGCTCTCACTCTCCCGCTGTCCCTCCTGCTCCTCCCTCCGCTCCTCCCCCTCCTCCCTATCCATGTCCCCCTCCGCTTCTCTCTCCCCGTCCCCGTGCCTGTCCCCTTCCCAATCCCTCTCTTTCTCCACTCCCCTCGCTCACATCTCCCCTCCGATCTCTCCACTTATTCTCAGCCCCATAAGCTATGACCCCCACCGCATTGCAGCACTCTCTGCCTTTGCGTCCCTGCTGCGATCTCTGGCTGATTGGGCCAGTGCGAGGCAAGAGGACGGGAGTACTAGGAAAGGGAGGGAGGTGGGGGAGTTAAGAGAAGGAGAGAGAGAGGACGAGAGGGTTGAGAGGAGCGGCGCTGCGAGTGGCTCTGCTGCTGTTGCATCTACTGCTGCTGCAGCTGCTGCTACTGATGCCACTGCTGCCGCTGCTGCTTGTGCTGATGGTGTTGCGGCTGCAAGGCTTGGGGATACAGACAGGTCATCATGGGCGCACCTGTGTGAGCAGGTGCAATGCAAGTTACAGTACCATGCCACCATCCACCGCTTCAACGCCCATCCACACCCCTCTTCCCTCTCCTCCCTCCCGTGCTTCTCATCCCCCTCTCCTTCCTCCCCACCTGTCCGCACCTCTTGCCTCTCTCCCTCCTCCGCCTCCGCCTCCCCCTCCCCTAGCATCATAGCAATCTTCCTGCGCACGGCACCTGCTCTCTGCCGCACGGCCATAGGCAGCTATCTGGGGGAGAGAGGCCCGCACGCTGCTGCTGTGCTCGCTGCTTACATGGACTCTTTCGACCTCAGGGTAACTTCCTTTCTGCCCCCTCTCTCTCTCTTTCTCGGACTCTCTCTCCCTTTTCACACGAGTTTTGAGATGACTCAAAACGCTTCTGCTGTGCTCGCTGCCTACATGGACTCCTTCGACCTCAGGGTAACTTCCATTCTGACCCCTTCCACCGCCCCTTTCTGCCCCCCTCTTCCTACCCCCTCTTCCGCCCCCTCTTCCGCCCTCCCCTTCCGCCCTCCCCTTCCGTCCTCCCCTTCCGCCGCCCCTTTCTGCCCCTCTCCCCCCACCACCCCGCTCTTGAATGGTCCTGTGCTTCAATCATCGACTTAGCATTTAGGCCATTACCCCTCCCGCTCACAATCCCTCACCATCACCCCTCCGGTTCTTCCCCCCACCCTTCCTCCCCCGTCCCTCTCCCCTTACCTCCACCTCGCCAGGGACTGGAGCTGGACGAGGCCATCCGCGTGGTGCTGCAGTGGTTCCGGCTGCCAGGCGAGGCGCAGAAGGCTGTTTGAGTCGACTCACCTCCCCCCCTCACCCTCCCCTCCCGCACCCTCACACCGCTTTCGACTCACCTAAACCAGGGGCTGGAGCTGGACGAGGCCATCCGCATGGTGCTGCAGTGGTTCCGCCTGCCAGGCGAGGCGCAGAAGATCGAACGGGTCATGGAGGCGCTAGCAGCGCGCTACTGCTGCTGCAACCCGGGGGGGGCGCTCAGCGGGCGCCCGTCCACAGCCCACGTGCTGGCCTACTCCATCGTCATGCTCAACACGGACGCGCACAGCCCGTGTGTCAAGAAGAAGATGACCGAAGCGGAGTTCATTCGCAACAACCGTGGGATTGACAGCGGCAGCGACCTTCCTCCCGCCCTCCTCTCCGCGCTCTACCACCGCATCACACGCAATGAGATCCGCATGCACCACCCCGCCCCTCCCACTGCCGCTTCTTCCTCCTCCTCCTCCTCCACCTCTGCCTCCTCTGCCGCCTCCTCCTCCCTTCATCCCACCCGCTCGCCTTCGTTTACTTCTCCCCTCCTCCCTCCTCCTCCTCCTCTCTCTCACTCTTGGTCACCGTTTTTTTCCCCTACGAACTCCCTCTTCTCCTGCTCCTTGTCCTCCACTTCCTCCGCTTCCCCCTCCTCGCCTCACTCCACCACCTTCTCTTTCTCGCGGTCTCGCTCCCTCCCGCCCCGCACAATGCACAGACACTCAGAGCCTGAGCCTCAAGTCGGCAGCAGTGGGAGGAGGTGGAAGGGGCTGAGTATGGGGGTGGGAAGGAGCGTGCGAGTCACTCTCCCTGCTAGCAAGTCCGCTGGTGGGAAGTGCACAGAGAGTGATGGGGTGATTCGTTCACAGAGAGAGCAGACGCCAGAGGAACTGGTATCCCTTACACGAGTAGGCACACGCCAGGCCACAAAGCAGGGCTTTAAACGCTCCTTGTCTCGCAACAGGCTGGGGCATGCGAAGCAGTGCCACCAGCAGCAACAACAGCAGCAGCAAGAGGAGCAATGGTTGCAGCAGCAGCAGCGGTTGCTACTGCGGAGCATTGAGAGGGAGGAGAGGATCCTGTTAAGGGAGCAGGTCCGGGCAAGCAGTCAGCAAATCCAGTATGCACTCAAACCTCCCTCCTCCTCCGGCTAGTAATAATATGAACCTCAAGTTCTTACTCGATTCGTTATGGACTCTCATTCTCTCTACCTGTTACTCTCCTCCTCTTCCTTGTCTCGTTTCTCTCTCCTCTGTCCACTCCCGTTCCCTCCTCCCCTTTTTTTACCCCTCTTCCCCGTTGTACCACTCTCCCCTCCCCCTCCCTCAGGTATCCCTTTGTTACTGCGTCAAGTCCCCTGATCGCCCGAGCCTTGCTCCTGCTCATCACCCCCCACCTCACACGCGCGCTTCTCACCCTCTCCTCCACCTCTCGCCCAACCCATGCCTCCACCCTTGTCTCCTCCTTCCCATGCACTCCTACTCCCCTGCACGCAACTACCACCACAACTGCGGCCATGCCCTCTCACAAGGCTCCTCCACTCCCCCACCCTCTTTCCTCCTCCAAACCCTCCCCTGGAGGTTTTCTCCCCACTCTCCCTCGCTCCCAATCCTACCTCTCCTCCTCCTCCAACCCCATTGCGTTCGTCCCTCGCTCGCTCACCCTCTCCCCCTCGTCCTCCTCCTCTCCCTTCACCCCCCTACACCCTGTGCTACTGCTCTGGGTTCTAGAGGTGCTCGCAGCAGCAGCAGCGGCGGCCTCTGCGGTGGGATGCGATGGGTTGAGCCGAGGGTTCCTGCGGTACCATACAGCTCTGATTCTTGTGCATGGCATTCCCTCTGCTTCTGCTGCTGCTGCTGCTGCCGGTGGCAATGGCGGAGCTGCTGCCGGTGGCAATGGCGGAGCTGCTGCCGGTGGCAATGGCGGAGCTGCTGCCGGTGGCAATGGCGGAGCTGCTGCCGGTGGCAATGGCGGAGCTGCTGCCGGTGGTGATGCTGCTGCTGTGGCTGCTGTTGATGGTGTCGGTGGAGCAACCACTGCTGCTGCGCCGGTGTATTCTGCAGCTGAAGCAGCT